ACTTAACCATCAATCCATGCTACTTCCTGAAGGGGAAGAACAGCTTGAGGACTGAAAAAGGTACTGGGACCAACACAAGGAGCTTCTTTCAAGCTGGGCATAAAAAAATGGTGCTGTCATACAAAAAAAAATAAGTCTTAGTAGGCTGATAAGCACAAAATCAGATGAAGTTTATGAAAAATGCTAAGAAAAATGATAATGCACTTGCAATGGAAACTTCTTTATCATTTGTGTTGGTTTGACACATAAGATCTTTATTTTTAAATGTAAAATAGGGGAAGGGAGGAAGAAGGGGGAATGTAAAGTGAAGATCATAATGCATAATCACACCCTTCCAGATTATTAACAACAACTGGGTGAATTGCCTTCCAAAATTGTTCCTGCATGTTGCTATAGTCTGAATGTGCATCTCAAAATTCATGTTTTGAGAAAGTAATCTTCCATGCAACAGTTTTAGGAGGTGGGGTCTTTCTGGAGGTGTTTAAGTCACAAGGGTCCCACCCTCCTGAGTGGATTCAAGCCACTACAAAAAGGGACTGCCTTTAGCTGTATGTGAGGATGCAGCAACAAGGCCCTCGCTAAATGCCAACACCTGGACTTTGGACTTCCAGCTTCCAGCGTCATGAGAAATAAGTTTGTTTTTTATAAATTACCCAATCTCGGGTAGAAAAGTCCCCACCTAGCTGCATTTTTGCTTTTAGTTACCCACAGTCAACAATGATCCCAAAATCTTAAATGGAAAATTCCAGAGATAAGTTTTAAACTGCATGCCACACTGAGAAGCATGAGAGAATCCTACAATGGCCCACTTTACTCTTCCCTCAATGTGAACCAACCCTTGTCCAACATAACACACTGGGTATGATACCCACCCACTAGTCACTAGGTTATCGGTATTACAGTGCTGTGAATGGAGTTTGGTACTAACTCTTCCTTCAGCCATCTACTGGGGGTCTCGAAACATCTTGCATGGAAAGGGAAGACTACTACATTCCAGCACTGATGAACTAAGACAAAAATACAAATACACCTTTTCCCTAAGGTAACAGATATAGGCTCAAAAACTATAGGGTTCTATGACATGCATGCTTCACTTAAAAGCAGATCATGTGTAGCTCCTTCACTATTCACATTCTTTTTACCAACTAATGACTATTCCAGTATATAAACATCCAATTTCTTCATTGTTTCTAATTTTATAATAATCATTTAGCAATGATATATAATCTTTGTATAATTATCTTTGTGTACATATCTGATGATATCTTATGGAATTGCTAGGTCAAAATTTAAGAGATTTCATCTTTGGAACAATTATACCAATGTAATGAAATCTATGTGTCTATGTACCTACCTACCTATTATTCATTGGCGTATCTCTTTATGGGTTTTACAGCACACTTGGAAGAGTCCTTTCTACCTGAGCCTCTGTTATGGTCTATTCTCCTGGCCCAACAGTGTATGTACCTGTATAATGTACCTATATATATATATATTTTTTTTTTTTTGCAGTGCTGAGGACTAAACTGACTTTTTTTTTTAATCTAATAACTAAAGTGCTCTATTGTTAGTTGTCTTTCTCAAAAATTTATTTCATGAACTCCAAAGAGCCAGAATTTGTATGCAGCTTCTTTTCTCCCAAAGCTTATATTCTCGGAAACTAAAATATACTTACAGTACATAGGGAAGTCAGGATTCAAACCCAAGTCTTCATAACTTTCCACTACAACGTGGCCAACTAGCTCAATTATTATTTTGCTTTTATATTCCCTGACAGGGAATGAAAGTTGGAAAAAAGAAAGTAAAGAATTATATCCAGCTCCCATAGAAGATAAATTTAAATCTCATGGCTAGAATAAATTATGTCTAACTATACAGGTAAGTTTTCAGTTGAAACAACCAAAACTCTTTTTGAGATCATTGAGAATCTACAGTAAATGAGAAATCTGCTTAAAGAAAAACAAGGTAAATGTCATTTTGATATACTGAAAAGAAAAATATGAAGGTTTCCATGTCATCAGAGAATCAGGCTTAGGTACACACAGGGACCAAGTGGCACTAAGGGAGTCTGCAGGGTACAGGAAACAGAAGGGGTTTGGGAAAGTGAAAGTGTAAAAAGATCTGAATACTGGGTGCAGAAGTGGGAAGGACCAGCTATCTCAGGGACAGTTGAGGCATAGTAGAGGATGGCAGAGTGAGGTGAGGGTATCACCAGTAACTCCTCGAGCTCCAAGGGCCTACACATTCCCAGAAGGGGCCAAGCAAGGACCAAATCATCCAGGAAGGGAGCTCATACTAGGTAGAGTATGAGGTGTCACTCTTGGAAGCCAATGGGATCCCAGGTAACTCTTCAGCAGATGAAGGATAAAGAAAGAGAAGCAGAGGGAAGGTAAAGGCAAAGGTTGGGAAAATGATGAAGAGGCCGCAAATGATAAGTTCACAGATGGGCTTCACTATTCATACTGTATTTCTTATCTCTCGCAAAACTCAAAGACGGACAACAATCCTCTAGCTTGTAAGCACTTAGGGCAGAACCAAATAGCAATAGCCCTAGAAGTTCACTAATGTATGTCATATGGCAGATGAACTACATTCTTTTTTTTGCTTTGTTTTTTAGACAGGGTCTTGCTACATAGTCCAGGCTGGCCTCAAACCTGTGATTCTCCTGCATCAGTGCCCTGGGAGCTGGGACTACAAGTGTGTGTCAGCAGGCCTAGCATGACATTCCTCTTCACAATGAAGTTACACAGCTTGTAGATCAGGGAACACTGTAAACATGAAGTCCTAGCTACCGCAGCATCCATCAAAGTCTGTATGCATTCCTTACAAACTTACAAAGTTAAGAACTACAAGAAAGATGATAACATGCTAAAGTAAATTTCTAATTTGTTCAAGGATAGAATTCAAAACTTACTGATTAATGAATCTATGCTAAAGTAAGGGAATTTCTAAAGGCATGGACCCAAGCTTCTTTCAGTCTTGTCTAGTTAAACAATTGCAATCAGTGACTTAGATGAGGTCAACAGTTCTATATTTAAGAAAGTTATAAATGTCATAAAGATAAAACAGCGAATAAGGTAGATGATAGAATAAAGTACAAGAAAGCACTCCAAAGATTGGGGAGAAATGATACTCCACAGAAAAGACATGTCAAGTTCTACACTTAGATTTAAAAAAAAAAAAAGCAAGCAAGTACAAGGGAAAACACGGCTTGACGGCCACATGTATAAAAGTTGACTAGAGATCAGTTAAGACATAAATTGGCAAAGTTGTCCAACGTCAACAATGCTAATAAGACTTTCCCTTTAAGAAATCTAGAGTCCAGGATATGAGGGCAATCTGGCTGCAACATCTGTCACCCCACTGATCACCATGGCTGATTTAATTCATCTAGGTTTATGTCCCCTTCCTTCCTCACCACTCCATTTGCGTCCCTCTCCAAAGTGCATGCTCAGTTGAAGAGGATAACCATCCCTGACAGAGGACGACTAGTCTCTGGTCAAGGGTATACCAAGTAGCAATACTTCTCCTGCTAGAACCTCCAAACAAGCTCTCACGAAATCTAGAGTCCAGGTAAGAGAAGGGCCATCTAACTCTGAGCTGCACTGGCCTGACCAAACTTTAGGAAATGTGTTCAGATACACACATCATACCTGAAAACAAAAGACACAACATGTTGAAGGCTTCAAAATCTGACAAATGAAAGATCGTAGATAGAACTGAAGACTCAGTCAACGGAAAATAAAAGAATCTGACAGCTGGTAGGGCCAGACAGATCCAAAGCCTTCCATGTTGAAGTGTGAGCCAAGATTCACCAATTCTGTACCAATGTGATGTAATGCGTAGCTTGAATGCCCTGCCCAAGTCCCTGCAGGGGAAGAGGTGCTAAGGAGTCTCCTGCCCTCAGGCAAGGCACCACAGCTCCTTTCCAACTCTGAGCTTCATTTGACCTTTGGGTGTAATTCCACTCAGCCACTATGCCTAGGGTATACAGAAGCCTCTGTGTCCCTCAGCTCTGCAGCGAGCCTGCCACTGGTACTCTATTGGATTGAACCCCATGAGACTGCTATACTTTGAGTATAGCAAAAACAGTCACAATATCAGCTATGGCTCAACCTAATTAGGAAAGGAAATGAGATCATCATGGAGGTTACTAGCCATCACCCTGGGAAGGCACAGAAGATCAATTCTCTGCTAAATCACTGTTTTGAATTTGAAGCTCTGCTTCTCTAATGGCTCACCAAGAGGTAGGTATTTATTCTTTTCTACATGGGGCGCTTCTTATGTCAATCAGAAAAGAGGTTCACTGTGGCTCCACTGCCCATTTTTATAGATAAATATCCACAACAGGAACAAGGAACTGTTACCTAAAAATTCAGTGCCATGATAGTACACCAAGTCCCAAGTAAAAAAAGAAGATGTAGTCTATGGTTACATGATGCGAAATGGTAAATCAGGAAAAGCACATTCCCTGGGAAGTGTGAAAAGGCCGAGTTAGTGTTAATCCCTGCAGGGAAATTGTGAAGCGTTAAACTAAGCTACTTCCCATCAGGGAAAGCTCACTAGTACTCTCACTTGGATTAAAGGTTACTGTGCCCTGCAGTGTGAGTTTGCCTATCAGCTTTCAACAGATCTACTCAACAGTTGTTTAAGAATCCTTAAGCAAATGTAAGTTGTTTTTAGCTACAGAAAGATTCACAAAAACCAGAGTTATATAAATAAAATTCCTTTGCAATAAAACTTTAAGAAAGAAAACTGCATAGATCTAGGCATTAGCATTCTTGGCTATTTAAAATGTAATTAATTTCCACCAAGTAAATTAAAGAGGTACTTATTACTTTTAATGGCAATAACAAAAACTTACTTATTTATATATACTTGTTTATAAGGTGGCATAAATGTCATCGAGAACTTTTGGTTTCTTTAGCAAACATCCAAGAGAAAATGAGACAAAGTGTTAACAACTATATACTTACACACAACCACAAGATTTTGCTTACCTGTAATACAAATTTCTGATCTATATATTTTTTGGCAATGCTGGGTTGGAATTCTTGGCTTTCCAAAAATCGTATGAAAAATTCATATACAAGCTGCAACAAACAGATTATAGTTAATTTCAAATTATAATTCACTAACAACAATATTAAAAATCATGGAAATCCTATTACACTAAAAGTGACAGGGTTTAGAAAATTGGTCTTAATATCAATCAATGAGGCAAAGATCAGGAGGATGGCAATTAAAGGCCAGCCCAGGCAAATAGTTTATGAAACCCTATCTCAAAAAAAAAAAAAAAAATACTGAGCATAAAGAAGGGTTGTTGGGGTAGCTCAAGTGGGAGAGCGCCTACAAAGCAAGTGTGAGGCCGAGTTCAAACCTAGGAACCACCAAAAAAGGAGGAAAAAAACACTGTGAACAATTTGTGTCAACATCATCTAAAGTATCAGTCTCTAAGTAGCTGTAAGTAATTCATTATACATAACTTTAATGGATAATTCCATTATTCAGAATTAATTTAACCAACCTCCTACACTTAGCTATTTAAGTAGTTTCTGCATTATTTCTCTATAAATCATGCCACAATGTGCACTGCAGAACATACAACAAGGAGCATTTCTTTAATTATATCATGAGTAAATATTTCTAAAAATGGAATTGTCCAATCAACAGATATCCAAACATTCAAGAATTTTGGAATTCTTTCCCAAATGTCCTTTCAGAAAGTTTATGACAAAGTTATACTCCTCCAATCAATGTAGTGTTATAACACAATATTCTCAATTGAAAAAGAATAGTCTCATCTGCAATGTCACAGTACATATCTAAATTACATATATAATTGTATTTTATATCTACTTATACAAAAGAAATAAAAACTGAGAAGTTTAAATATGTATTATTTCATTTTAAAAAAACAAAATGTATTCACATAAGTAACTTTTTTGTGAAAAATAACTTCATTTTTCAAAAAAGGTTATTAAGAAGAAAAGCACTGAGGCAGGCGTAGTGGCACAAGCCTGAAAGCCCACTCAGGAGACTGAGGCATGAGGATTGTGAAGTCAAGGCCAGTTTAGACTGTATAGCGAGATCCTGTCTCAAAAAGAAAAAAGGACAGAAGGATTGTTTTATATTTTGGTAAGTCTCTTTAATGGCAGACTAAGTAGAAGATAGACTCTCATCTACTGTGTACTTAATCTGTTGTGATATATTGCCTTGGTTGAAGTATATAAAGAAAATCAGGCTTTACACAGATCTAGCAGTTGGGAAAAGGAAGAGTAAAGTTTTCTCACATAGTTGTGTATATTCTTTTTTGATAAGACACCAAAACTCAACAAACTGTCATTGCCTAAAGATTAGGTACAATGCAGAATTTAAAATACATCCATGAACTTTTTGTTCTCCATAACGCTAAAAGCTAACTGTCTATCTAGCGTTCTAAATAGACTTTCATGCATGCATGTGTTCCTAAAAGCATTCATTTGCAAAGTGGAAAATCCTGGTTTGCTGGTTTATGCAGATCTTTCAAATGTTGACACATTCCAGTATACAGCATCATTAAAGATCACATTCTTTAACCTCAACCCCTCCCCCCCAAGTCTTTAACTTTGAGAAGCTGTAAGGCTCAAAGTAACAGATGTAAGAGATACAAATTTTCTAAAATTCTGGTCCTAAATTTTACTTTAAATGCTCTATCAATGACAACAAATATTATAAATTGGTTTCCTTGCTTTAGAGAAAGTACCTGCCAAATAAACAACTCTTTGTTCCTTCAAGTAAAAATGGTATTCACAAAAACCAGCTAGTGTACACTGTAATTCAAAACAATTAGTGTCCTCCAGCAAGATAACCACTGCACATCAGTCAGTATATATGTAGTATGCATGCATGCTTCCCATTTCATCATGCAAAAAAAACTGGGGGAGGCAGGAAGTACTGGGGGTTTGAAATCAGGACCTTCCATTTACTAGGCTGGTGCTCAAACACTTAAGTCACACCTCCAAACACATGTGGAATTTTTTTTTTAATGTGTGCTCAAGGGTCAAAACTATTGAAGCTTAATTAATTTAAGTTTTTATTAAGTTTAATTAATAAAAATTTATTTAAAATTATTTTTCTGTTTTTCAAGGATGCTCTCAAGTGAAGCTAGCTTTTAAAAATTACAAATACATGTCAGTGAAGAATATACTGACTACCTGACCAGTCTGACACAACTGTTTTGATTGTGCTAAGGCAACAGCAGTTTTACCACCTTTGCTTTTACAATGAACAATACAAACAATACAACAAATGGTCAACACAGGGCAAAGGGCAAATACCACAGTATTAGTACAGAAGTCATTTTGAAAACTTCAAGTCTCAGATCATCCCAAGGGTCCATAGATACCACTAACTTAAATACTTCCTATAACAACCTTATAACTTCAGACTCTAATTTAACACTTAAATTGGTGTACATATTAACATTTTACTTTTTGATAAAACTATACTTTTATTTAGTCAGACACAGTAGTATGCCCCTGGTAGTTTTAGCTACTAGGTATGTTACTGACACGGGAAGATACATTAAGCCCAGGAGTTGAACACCAGTGAAAGGGAAGAAGGAAGGGGAAGGGAAAGCAAAGGGAAGGGAAGGAAAAAAAACCCACACAAAACTATGTTTTCCTCTTTGAAACCCTATATTCAGAAAAACCTCTTTCCCACTGATGTGGTATTATTCTTCTGGGCCCAGCAATTCTTGAGTCCTAACTCCTCACAGAATTATTCTTTTTCAACTAAACTTTCAACGCTTGGTTTTACAAATAGAATGACCTCTTCTGATTCCCACAAAATGAAGAGATACTGTCTTCACGGCCTAACTTGGCTGGCAGGGCTTTCCAGTGAGACTAGCAATGTGTTCTCTCCCCTTGAAACTATACTTGAAAGTAGTTGAAGTTTAAAATGGTTGATGGAAGCAGTTCAGATACATTTTATTAGTAAGCATAAATGTGCCCTGCACTGAAAAGACTATACCTCACAATCAAAACACTCCCTTGAGTTTCTACAGGGAGAGACTGGGGATGGGGAAGGCTAAATTACTCTTCAAGGTCACAAAAGTGAGTTCCCCAAGGAACAAAAAGACCTCAGCACTCCTCAAGCAGAAAGCATTAAAAACAATCCCTTAATTTTATGTGGAAGTCCTGCGAAACTGTATTCTATTGGAAAGACAGATCTAATTTCAGAAAATACATAAACAACAACCATGGTAATATGTGATACCAGCTTTTTAGACACCAATACAGGTAATAAAAAAGATGAAATAACATACATTATAGTAGATCTCTTGGGACATATTTGAACAAAAAAATCATGAACTTAAAATTATTTTGCCTATTTTAAGTATCTCTACAGATCCATAATTTGTTATAATCAGTAGTTTTGTGGGGGGCCACAAATTCTAACAAAACATGTATGCAGGAGCAATCAATTAGCTAGGCAATGAGGCTGGCCAACCACCCAAAAACCACCTCAGTGTAATTTTGCCATTCTCTACCATTCTCAGGTACTTACATTTTGCTTCCTTGTAAAATGTAGTCCAGAAATGGAAGCACATTGTTAATTATACAGTTTAGAAAAAGCGCAAAGATCTAACACTATGCTATGTTTTATTAAGAAAGAATAGACTGTGAGACCAATTAAAAAGTAAAATATTAGCCTGACATGGTGATACACACCTATAATCCTAATACTAGGGAAGTGGAGGCAACAGGATATTGAGTTCAAGATCAGTCTAGGCTACACAGGGAGACCCTGTCTCAAAAAACCAAGGCTGGGCTGGAGGAGTGGTTCAGGTGGTGGAGTGCCTATCTAGCAAGCATGAGGCCCTGAGTTCAAACCCTAGTAGCACCCAAAACAAAACAGAAACAAAAAACCTAGGGTTGGTGATGTAGTTCAGTGGTAGAGCACTTGCCTTGCATGTCAAGGCCCTGGGTTCAACCTCCAGCACCACAAAAAACAAAAAAGTAAAATAGTGAATTTAGTAATGGGTGACTGTGACACAAATGACCTATCATAAACAGAAAAAGATTTCTTAAACATTCAATAAGTGCTCTTATTAACTAAAACCACCTATCAGTGAAAATGGAAAGGTCACTTACTATATGCAGTAAGAGTATACAAAGAATTCCTGAAACAAAGCAACAAAGGATGAAGGCAACAGTGCACCTCTGGAATGACCCTAAATGAAGGCCAATTTAGAGGCCCAAACTGGCTTCAAACTGTTCCTTAGCTTCCACAGAGCTCAGATTACAGGCATGCTGCATGGGTTGAATATGTGAATTTTAAAAATACGTTTCCTACACTTGATCTAATCTTAGTTGGTCATTTTCCCCCTAAGCTAAAGAAGGAACCAGAAGGATTACAAGATTATCAGCCCATTCTGTAATCATTTGTAACTTTATATCCAAAAAGGTGACAGTTTCATGGCGATTTATCACTGTTGCTCTGGTTTTAGGGTTTCAGATGAACTAACAATTAATATTCCTACAGAAATGAGGGTTTAAACTACATTTTTTGGAGGCAAAATTAGTTTAATAGCTTCAGAAATTAATTCAGTCATGTATTTTATAGAATCATTAAGTACAGGAAAGATTAGCTGAAATACTAACTTAAACTTTATTGTACTTGAGGGGAAATTTATGACTCTGATTATCATGATTTAGAGTATTCGAAATGCTCTTTGGAATGGCAAGAGTTGCCCAAACTTTTCTTTGGTATACAGAAAAGATAATAAGCTGAGGCTTTGAAGACATCTCTCTCTGTGTCTTTTCTGGCAAAAGATGTAGGACTTTCCTGAAGAGATAATCTTTAAAAATATTTTTTTTCATCCAGACTAAATTACATTTCAATGAACTGGTGCCAAGTGTTAAGAATAAGACAGGGCAGAAGTCCACCATTCAAAAGGAGACTTTACTGGATTTTGTCACAATCTGGAATATTGCAGATAGTATTATCAGGCACTTAAAAAAAAAATCACACATCTAAGATAATAAATCAACTATGGCATTTTAACTAATTTAATTTACCCAATCTTGGCATTGGTAGCAGGAACATACCACAGGATAGCAGAAACATATATATATCCTGAGGAAGAGCTGAGAAAATAGCCCCCAAAAAGCTCTGGAAAACTAGGGGAAATAGCATACATGTGTGCCTATAGCAACCGAGAGTTGCCAAAGCAGGACAGGTCAAGTTGCAAACTTTTGTCAGGAATTCTGAAGAAGAGGAAATATAAATTGCTAAGATTATCTCTAGGCCTTATCAGCCTACTACACAGTTCTTGGCTCTTCAAAATATCTCCTAGTAAGTAACCATAACACACTTCTACAAAGATGCAGTGGCTTCTGCCCAAGGTGAAGGGGCAAAAATGTACAAGGTTATATTCCTTCTCTTCCATCCCTTCCTTCCTTGCTATTATTCATCACCCAGCCTCTGAGGGCATTCTGATTCAAAGGAAAGATCGCTTTGGGTTTCGATATGTTCAAATTTCCTTGTTCTCTTCTTTTGAGAAAGGTTGGCCTTGAGAGCAAGAAAGAAGGAGCTGGGAAATGACCAAGTATAATAAATAAATAAATACAATACAGATGAGCCTGGCAGTGCAAAAGGAATTGCAGTGGTGGCCCTTACCTATCCTGGCACATGAGTATAACTGGACAGCACAACTTTTTCAACACAAGAGAATTAATGCACCTTCACCTAGTCTGTCTTATGATACTAGAAAAGAAATAGCTACTGAATTTGGTTTTGTCTTTCCAGACTAAAGAAACAAGCTTGTTGTTATTACAAAGAGAGGCAAACAAAGTTCCCAGGATACCTACTGCTACATACTCACAAAGATAATGTACTCTGTGAGCTAATCATGTACCACTAATATTAATAATCCTTCCACTGGGAAGGATCACAAAGAAACTCTAATGAAAAAATAAGAACTGCTTACTGGCCCTGCAACATGGGGAGGCCCATACCAAAGCACTGCAATAAAACTATTCTTTTGGCATGCTCATTATCAAGAGTAAGAAACATAAAAAGCATCCTTCAGCTTTCCATTAATGTACTCTAATTTGATTTCCTGGAGAAGAAAGACCTTCAAAGAATTCCCATGCTAATCAATGGATGAGTTAATGGATCTTTTCTTTCCAACCAAATGGTATAATTCAAAGTACCTGTAAATGTGGCCATGATGCCTCAAGGGTAGGTTCATCTTCTTCTGGATCAAATTCATTGCTGTCACTAGGAGGGAGAGTTCTGAATATATTGCAAGATACCTAAAAATAAACAAGCAGCAGAGTTAGCTGGAAGCACCTTATGGGAAGCCTTACAGGAGGTCCTCTGCAGAATAGGGACCTCCCTTTGCAGGCTCTGAGGCCGGGACCACCCCTAGGCAAAGCTGAAAAGTCACAGGAGCAGCACCTTCTTACTCTCCTGAATTGCACTTCTTGTCCTTATTTGGACACATCACCCCAGATCCTGTAATTTTATACTTCCCATCAAAGCCTGCTCTAGGTTACTTACCAGTAATGTTTCCAATTAACTAAGTTATACTAGGATATAAATAACTGCTAATGGGTACAAGACAAGTACTTCCTTTCTCAGACTTATTCACAATTTGCCAATTTATAGCTAAAGTAATGACAAATTCCAGGCATTCACAAAAAAATGAATCAGGAAAGAAATTTAAGAACCTTTTTAAGATCCTTAAAATCACACAATCTGTCCTCAGTTACTGTTTACAAAACAGTAATGATGCTCAAGGTCAGATATATCAAAATCAGGGTCATCTCTAAATCCCTGATTTACCTGCAGCAGTTTGTATGTGCAACCAATATGGGGAATGGACCAGAGGACTTCATAAGATTGTCAAAAGACATCTACTATCTAAAACAGGGTTAAAACCACTATACTAAATAGTAAATTTGTTTCCATTAAATCATCCTTTATCACTTGCAGTCACTTCTGATTTACAGTACAGGTTAAATGGTTGTTAAATAGCTAATGTCAGCTGCATGCTTATGCAAATCTATCAGGACCACAAGTTACCACCAGCACAGAGCAGTTTTGTAATGTTTATGTGACTATATTAACATGCATTCAGGTATCTCCAAAGTCAAAAACTGCCTCTATATTAAAATATATGAGGCTCTAGCCCTAAGTCTTTTATTTTATTCATTCAAGAATGGATTATCAAAAATGGACAAAGGAAAAGTTTTAAGGTATATTAGGATTTATTTCTCAACTATTTTATTTATTTATTTTATGTATCAGTACAAAGATAAATGCACAAATGTCTTTTGAGGAAATTTAATGAATGCATTTTCATTCCAAAGACATTATAATAAAATGCTCAGTACTGAAATTAAATTAAAGCCTTAAAAGTTACCAGCCTGACCTCCAAAAAGTAGCTAGGACAGAAAGCAAGGCTGAGTGGATGGGAGGATTGAATCTTTAAACCTAGACAAACTCTCTTCAAAAGGAGAAAAGTTTATAGAATTATAAACTTTACTATGAAGTTTTTAAAATCAGAACATGTTAGACTCATCCAGTCCCTTCTTCTTACAAATAAGGAAACTGAGGAGATCAGAGCTATCCAGTCCTTCAAGTAGCAGAGTGTTAAACATGCACCACGGTGCTCTGAGTTCTTTCTCTGATATATCACCTGTACCCCTGTCCCTGGAGACCAAGGATGGACCTTGCTTCTTTATTTCTCTCCTTTTCCTCTGACCTTCCATAGCCCTATTCATCTTTAATCACTTCTGTTATTCTTTCATTTCCTCCTCACCCCTGTCTCATCATCTCCTTAAGGTTTTTTGGTCTGCTTGTGCCACTCAAAGGCATTCTCGGGCACTATTTACATACTTGGCTGACCTTTCTCAGCATTAACAAGGAACTCTAACAATCTGTTCATCCCCACTACTGGTTCAGATCTCTGGTATCAAACGTCTTGATTACTGCAATGTCTGTGGTGGTATTCTTCCTCACATCCCTTCTTGTCTCATCCAATCAGATTCTAAGCCCCTCAAGGACACATTACCTGCCTTGGAATGCCTGTCATCCAATAAACATAAATAGAAATAACGGGAAGGATCGCCAGATAAAATACAGGACACTTAGTTAAATATGAACTTCAGATAAATGACAAATAGTTTTTAAGCCTAATTCTCATGCAATATTTAGGATAGTATCATACTGTCCAAAAACTTATTCATGGCAGGCAGAAATGACTGAAAGTTAGTATGCCTAGCAAAAAAAGTATTCATTATGTGATATTCAAATTCATCTATTGTCTTTGTATCATTTGCCAGATCTGTCAACCCTAAAATATGGTTAAATACTAAGTAAGAACCTCTCTAACTCTTAAGAGGGTAGTTACAGGTGAGGCCTAGGACTACAAGCTGTTTGCTTTGTTTTTGTTATCTTTTCAGTACTTTACTGCTAAATCTGTTAACAACGATGCAAAAAAAATAAATTTTAAAGTCTTGGTGAAATGTGAAAGAAGAGATTACAAATTTCCCAAGTTTATGGCCTGATAAGCAAGAATAGGAAGAGAGGGTTTAAGCCTATTTCATCAGTTTTTGATTAAATAATTACTTTCTAATTTATATCAGCAAATACAATATTTAAGCTTTCAAATTATTGTAGAAAAAATAATTCATTGTCCCTAACCTCTTTTTTCTCCATAGAAATTACTAATTTCACATCATTTTTGGTTGACATCTTGTGTATAACTGTTATCATCTAGGGAAAACAACTAGCAAAGGATTTGCACATTAAAAAAGAAACAGTAATGGTGAGCACTGAGTATACTCCTTAATATCTGCTAAGATTAATACAGAATGGACAATAGAGTAAGAAGCTGTTTTTTTTAAAGATCAGAATACTACAATTTCCTTTAGTTATATATTTGTTAACACTCTTAATATTTAAGATTCTGGTAAATCAGGCATGTAATGTGAACCAGAGGAGCCCCTGTATCACAGTGCAAAAAAGCCAACTTAAATCATCTCTGTGCCTCACGATATATTTTCTACATGAACTAAGAATCATCTTTCTTGGTAAAAGCAGATGACCAGTTGACCTCAAGAATATTTCTTTGGGGCGGAGGGGGAGGAGAAATGACCCAAATATTGTATGCACATATGAATAAAAGAAATTTTTTAAAAAAGATATTTCTCTCTACCTTTAATGGAGAAAAGCTATCACTTAAACAATTATGTAACATCGAGCATATCAACCATAAAAACAAAAATGGTAGATCTATAAAATGTTTCTTGAGATCAC